CTCAGCTTTGCAGAAATTATGGGCATTCTGTCGAAGACTTCTGGTGAAGTAGAAAGCACATGAATCTTACTGTTCAATCACCCACTTCCCACACGCAACAATAGCTCATGGGTACCACAGATAACTTTGCCAAAGTTCTCTGCCAAAGTTGAGCACGTGAAGCTTGCAGCTCCCACTACATCGCTCTGACCAAGAAAGGTAAAAGAATAGCAAAGAAACAGCACTAACAAAGTTTAGACACATAAATTTTGAAGGTCTAGCTACCATATTATTACCCACAAGGGTAAAGGAACAGTACCACTGCTGGATAATTGGAAAGTCCCTGTGTGTCAACCTCCTGTGCTTCGTGGCAAGGTAGACTAGCAAACATGCCCAACCTTTACTCACATTCGAGAAAACACTCCCAACAAGATTGCTTGCTCCAAAATCGAAGAGGCACCGCCTTCCGAATCTCGAGAGCCAGACTCCCAACATGATTACTTTCTCAAAAATCGAAGAGACACTGCTCCCCGAATCTCGAGAGCCAGACCCCCACCATGATTGCTTTCTCAAAAATCGAAGAAGAAGCATCGTTCTCCGAATCTCGAGAGCCAGATACCACATACCACTTTTTCAAAGTGCTCTGACAGAGTTAAAACATGTGAAAGCTGGCAGCTCCCACTACCGTGCTATGACCAAGCAGGGTAAAGGAATAGCATTACTACTTGTTGTTCAGGGAGACTCCTATATATGTCGACCTCCATCCCCAACGGACAGGCAGACCTGCAAAAAATGCTCAACCCTTCCTCATATCTGAGAGGGCACTCCCAACGAAGCCTTTCGAAATATTCAGCTTTCTTTCCCCCCGATAATACCTCTGCAAACAAGCTATACTAGAGCAAGAATATCTCATATCATCAGGGTTAAAAGCAAGAGAGTATCCCATATCATGCTTTTTCCCTGTCTTTTCCTTTGGCCTTGTTTTTACCTGCAAGACAAGGAGAAAGAGAGCAATCAGTCAGCACTTGAATGAAATCAAGCTTCCCAGCCAGGAACTGACAGCCTGGAACCCCTTACCTGATTATTACTTACCTGGCATTGCTCTCGAGTACTCATCTTCAACATCTTATGTTGCCAGGGAAGATACCGCATCTGCTTGAGGAACAGATAGGGCAAGTGCGAAGGATACAAGGAAGCATGTGGAGACAAGCGTAACAGCACACGTGCCGATCCATCCATTACTCTGTCAAAAGCAAAAGTATCCCATATCAGCAGGGTGGGTCGAACGTACTCTAGATTTGATGGACTTGTTTTGACCCTCAAATTCTTCAGTCGGCCTTATACTCTGGAGGAAACCAGAAAACCCTCCAGCTCAGTTCAAGAATAAGCCTGTGGAAAGTTACTTCTTCAAAAGCAAAAGTATCCCATATCATCTCTTCTCATTTTTCTTCTCTTTATCCTTCATGCTGCTGCAAGATGGGGAGAAGGTGAACAATCAGCCGGAGCTCTGATTGCTTACCTTGTCTGTCACCTCTTTTAGCAAATCCCCTAGCTCGGCGACTTGGGGGACTCCTACTACATGGTTTTGTATCGCGCTTGACCAAGCCTGAAACTACAAGTAAGCTTCAAGTGAAATTGATACATTACCTTGTGCATCTCCACCAGTTAAAGATACCACCCCTGGATGGAGGAAGAGTACTTCCAGAGAAGCTGCCACATCTATCTATGAGACAGATAAGGCAAGTCAAGATGATACCACACTCCGATACTTAGAAGTTTCGTGATTACGAGATCATTCTCCCACAATATTTCCTAATGTCATTTGTTCTCTAATGTCATTTGTACTAAATCATTCACTTGTACTCACTAAAGGAGAGCTTGAACCTATGTACTTGTGTAAACCCTTCACAATTAATGAGAACTCTTCTATTCCGTGGACGACGTAGCCAATCTGGGTGAACCACGTACATCTTGTGTTTGCTTTCCTATCTCTATCCATTTATATACTTATCCACACTAATGACCGGAGCAATTTAGCGAAGATCACAAAAAGCGACCGTTTTCGCTACCTAGGATCTATCTTACAAGAGAACGGAGAATTAGATGGAGATCTCAACCATAGAATACGAGCTGGATGGATGAAGTGTAAGAGTGCATCCAGCATGTTGTGTGACTGTCGTAGGCCACTGAAGCTCAAGGGAAAATTTTATAGACGGCAATAAGGCCAGCGATGTTGTATGGCACAGAATGTTGGGCGGTGAAACATCAACACGTACACAAAATGGGTGTAGCAGAGATGAGGATGCTTCGTGGGATGTGTGGGCACACGAGAAAGGATAAGATTGAGAATGAGGATATCCGAGGTAAAGTAGGAGTAGCCGAAATTGAAGGAAAGATGAGAGAAAATCGGTTCCGGTGATTTGGACATGTGCAAAGAAGGCCGACTGACGCTCCGGTTCGAAGATGTGACTACGGGACAGAGGTTCAGGGCCGAAGGGGTAGAGGAAGACCTAGGAAAACTTTGGAAGAGACTCTAAGAAAAGGCTTAGAGTACTTGGATCTAACGGAGGACATGACACAAAACCGAGCGCAATGGCGTTCTAGGATTCATATAGCCGACCCCACTTAGTGGGAAAAGGCTTTGTTGTTGTTGTTGTTGTTGTTGTTGTTGTTGTATTAAAATGTATATCCTTGATGCTCTCCAGACGATCCACAGAGATTTCTCTTGTTATTCGGCAAACCATGGAAGCATGCATTATGACACATTTAATGCCTTGGGCTCAGGTTCTACTGATGCATCTTGGGAACTTTTCTTCGTTGAATGTCTAGTTTGTTCTTTTCTGAGCCTTGTATCTGTTTACTGCAGATTGATATTTTTGTGCAAGTTCTCCAAGCAGATGGAGGTAAATCCCGATGTCTCTTTGCAGCCATAGGTCCTCTATGATATGTTTCCTTTGTGTGTGTGAATTTTTGGTCCTGTTTCAGTCAAGATATTTGTAGATCCAGGCTTATTTTCTGAAAAACAAAGCCATCCTCAATTCATTTCATGTACGTTAACCACTTGTATTTGAATTTAAAGCTGTTAGTTTGTTTCTGTATTTTAATTACTATTGAGGTAGTTCGTGTTTGAGGGTCAACCTATGCTGCAGGCAGTTTATTAATAGTTATCGCTGTTGTTGCATTGTATGGAAATAGAGATGTGATCGATACTGTTCACTGTTCACAAAGTACCATGGTTGTCCCTGTTATATGTGTATCGGTTAGAATGTTAACTATTTACTATTTAGCAAATACTATTGGATTTCAACAGGTTGCTTCACTGTTTTAATTGATGAACGGAAAGATCTTTCCGTGAGTTCGATTATTTTATTTATTTTATCTTTGGCAGGTACTAGATCTGCATGTATCAATGCTGCAACCCTGGCCCTTTCAGATGCTGGAATTCCAATGCGTGACCTTGTTACTTCCTGTAGTGCCGGCTACCTTAATAGCACGCCTCTACTTGGTAAACTTTTACATTACCTTATGCTTGTACGGCTCCTGTAAGGCCATTGTAATATTCATGTGAGCTTATTGTTGCTGGTTTGGCAGATGTAAACTATGTAGAAGATAGTGCTGGAGGCGCTGATGTCACTTTAGGCATTATGCCAAAGTTGGACAAAGTGACTCTTCTTCAGGTAATTGTCATATTTGTTTCTCAATCTGTTCTCACAATGTTAAGTTACAATTGTTGTGTTAGTTGGCATCTACAGTGTCTTCTTTGTAGCGCCTTTTGTAAACCACTTATTTGTGATGATTGTTGATGCAGATGGATGCTAAATTACCATTGGACATTTTTGAAAATGTAATGCAACTTGCAATCGAGGGCTGCAAGGCAGTTGCAACATATATTCGAGAAGTAAGCACTTTTTTGAGTTCTGTCTTGACATATGGCCTCTGTATTTGGACAGTGCTTGTTGCTCAATGAGAGTTTGCTTCATTTCTTGTTGCAGTATTTCCATCTTTATTGGAATTTTAATCTGGGTTTTCTATGATAGGTATTACTAGAGAATACAAAGCAATTGGAGTATCGCCGAGGCACGTAGTTTCAAATCATGGTAAGGCCATGTACATTGTTTATTGTTATGGAAGTCTGATAAGTTCTAACAGTCACGGACAGTCACCCACCTACTCTGTTTTCAAAGTTTTTGTTTTCTGCTGCCCGTAGGTTTATAGCTGTTCTTATGAAGTTTGACGGCGGTTATATCATGGAGACGGTGTTTGATGGAGGAAGTAGGCTTAAAATTAAACACATTCAGTCGAGTATCCCCAACCAGAGAGCTGTTTTTAGATTCTGAAAATTGTATCTGTAACATCTACGACATGGCTCTTCTTGTAAATGAATATTCTGAGTAACAGATTTTATATCAAAGAAGATCCGTTTATTTCAAAGATGGACAATAAATTAATTTTATGTAACCAAGGAAATCCATAACTAGGGTTACCCTAGTTCAGAAATGTTCACCTGGTGACCGGCAAATACATGGTCAGTCACTATAAATTTGGATATTAGGGTGGAGAATGAATATTGTGTTTTATGTTTTAACTTCAACCCCTGGTTCACTATCAGTACATCACAAACCCAGAAACGCTATAGAAAGTGTCTCATAGCATCTGGGATCATATAGGAATAAAAGTTCTCTCACTGATCAAATCAGATGCCTATATCTGATCACACACTGTGCTTATGCAAGTTGCAATCAAGTCTATTGTTGAAATTCAATAAACAGATAAACTAATAGTAATCCAATCACTCACATATGATTCAATCAAAAAATGAAACTTTTAATCAGAGATATTACGTTTTGATAGCGTACGGCTTAGAAACACAATATTAAGGAGAGAGGAGAGTTCAAAACTATTATTGCTAGTATCTTTTTTTTTTTAATTATTATTGTTAAGGAGAGAGGAGAGTTCAAAACTATTATTGCTAGTATATAATAACATATTTATAGGAAAAAGTATTGCAATGCATAAGAATATGAGGCGAATGATAAATTAAAACTTTCATTGATTGTATTATGTTTCAGTTTTACAAACTTAAAAAGAGTCAAACTAATCTCTGCAGATGTGATTTACTAAAGTCCTTCCCAGCCACCAGTCAGTCCAGATTTATGAACGCAAACTATGCAGAGAAGTGAAGCAACCCAACGTATGTGTACAACACCTTGTCCCTTTCACAACAAACCTTGATTAATTAAACTTTTGAAGAATGGTGTTATAAAGTATTTCTGTCATAACTAAGAACTTCCCTTCAAAAGGGCAGCTTTGTTAGAGCAATGGGTTGGATTCGAAGAAATTTGCAGGGCGTAGCTCGAATCCGCCATGAAGGGTGGCCATAGCTGGGAAATCTTCTTGGTATGGAATGTGATGAAATCCCACCGTGTACCACAATACTATATCTTTGTTTTCAATAGCTCTATTCCTGCACATGAAAATGTTTCCTCTTAAATCAAGTTTGACGCAAAATCAACACTACACAACACGGATGTTCATACATGACGTTTGCTACGACAGAGATTGAGCAATTTTTGGTAATTGATGCATGTGAGTCTCACAAGACATCAAAAGTAAATTAAAATTCGTTTGCACGCGGTGAGCCACTGATCTTATTATTAACTTTACAAATATTTGATGATCTCTTTACTAGTAATCTAAAAGAGCAAAAGATAAAGGGAAAAGGAGGTGAAGAAGAAAGGTACCTCTGGCTCCAAACAGCCAAGCCATCATCCCCATGGCTCCTATCAGCATAGAACCCTCCAGCCCACTTCTCTGACTTATTATAGGCAGTCACCCAAACTTGATGCTTGGTATAAGAAGCCCTAATCTGTGGGTAATCATCATCAGCCAGAAGAGAAGTTACCGGCTGTCCTGTAATCAGCCGGTAACCAACCTGATTTCCAAGCCTAGTCTTACTATTAGGGTTCACAATCAACAACTCGGCAGGCTCCAAGCCGAGCCAAATTCTCGCCTCGGCTTCAGTCCTGATGGTTTCCCTAACGACCTTCCAGTAACTCTTTCTTGGTGATGTTGGGTTAACGGTACTGGCTCTTGCCGTTTGGAACTTGGCCTTGACAAAGGAGTTGGCGTTACCATCGACGTCTAGGTCTAGCATATATGTGAGGAAGTGGTCGTGGTTAATCGCGACGGTGTTTTCTGATACCAAGGTTCCGTAAACGTTTTTCGTTATTTGGTCGTTGCTTGTGTATGAAGTTGCTTTTACCTCCAAGACACCTGTTAAACCCACCTGGCAACAAAGTGGATAATTCAAAGTTGATTCTCTAAAACAGTTTTATTTTTTCTTTAAGTCTCTGAAACAAGTTTAGAGTAGCTTAGGTTTAACATCACCGGGGTTAAGCCTGAGAGTGGATAAAACCGTAAAATGATGAGTAAGAGAAAGCTAGGTTCACGATTGAAAACATTTTAAGACAAAAACAAAATCATAAACTAATTAGCAGGGTGCTACTTTTTCTATCAACATAGAGAATCAGAGATTCAAACTTGCAGATTTCCTTCAACTTTCCAAAGAGAAGCACCTTCACTTATATTTTTACTTTACAAAAATGCTATCTACGCTCTATTTATATTTCTATCCCCTTCAACTCGATTATACTCCGAAAACAGGTTATCGGAAGATACAAGCAGTTTTAGTACAAACATATAGCTAGCACTCCCATTTGAGAATTTCTTGTGATAGATTTGTACATGCTGCAACCCCTTTGATCTTTTCTTCAAGATTGTAAAAGACATTCACAGAGAGAGAGAGAGAGAGAGAGAGAGAGAGAGAGAGAGAAATGGGGGTGGGGAAGGGAAAAGGTTGCTAATGTTGTGACATATGTTCTAATACAAATTGTAATTGCGTAAATCCTAATGGCATCCCCACATCCCTAATGGGGGGCTTTATTCTCCATGAGGCTACCACATTTCTAGCCTTAATGAGAAATTTCATCCCCAATGAGCCGGAAAATGGGGCTAGCAACTTCCTTTCTTGGGTAGCATAAAATTGGGTTACATCTAGACCCAAAAAAACAATGGGTCTTACAAAAAAAGTAGCAACCCATGTAAGCAAAATTCTATCACTCTCCATCCACTTGCGAAAACACTTATACTCTCTTTTTATTATTTTTTTAATTCTTTTTTCTTACTTATTTTTCTTGCAATTTCGCTAATTAATGATTGTTTTAAATTCCATAAGAATGAAAATTTCAAATTGATTTAACGTTCATAGGAATTGATGGGTGAAATTTTCAAATATTTTTTTTTTCAAAATTGTATGATACTAATTTACCAATTGGTGCTAGGTAAATTGTTGTTTTATAAGTAAAAATCAAATTATTTTAGAGGGCGAAGTGGAGGTTTGTTTCTTTCAACGGATAAGATTGAGATAAGGGAATCTAATCCAACGAACGATTCATAAGTGATGAAATCTAACTTTGTCACAATTTGAACTTTTTAGGTTGAAGGGTTCATAAAAAAATTTAAGATAGCACATAAATAAAATTAACTTAAGAAAAGCTAACACACACAAAAAATCATCGCTTAATCAAATTACTACATAAATAAATATATATAACCCCATAAAGAGCCCGAAAGATATAGCCCTCTATTGGGAGAGATTCTTTAATAAAGCCCCAAAGATTCCACAATGGGCTATATCCACCACTTTTTCAGACCCATATAGAGCCCCTAACTGGGGATGCTTTAAGTAGAGATAGATGAGGAATCCTTTGGGATCTAGAGGATCTTTCCTAATAGACTTTGTATTACTTGGAGAGCAAGTTTCTCTCTTCCTTATTACTATAAATAAAGGCACAATGACTGGTGAATTAACACATAATTCCTCAAGCCTATTCTTCACTCTCTTTCTCTTTATGCCGCACCTTTCAATTAAATATAGGCCACAACATGTTATCAGCATGCTCCTCCGCTGCACTAAGGAATCTGACGTGGTTATTATTCAATCAGGGGAGTATTACGTTTCAATTATTCTTAATTGATTAAATTTTGGTTTTCTTGAATTCATATACTTTTATTGATTCAATTTATTTTTTTTATGTTGAACGTGATACAAGCTTTGGAGATAAAAAGCTGAAATTGAAGAAATAATTTTCTGCATCAAACTAGTTCATCAATATCATCACGCAATCAAGTTCTTCCAAAATAATGATTTTTATCTCGATATTTTTGCAGTCCTGATGGCATGAACATTCATCTTAATGCGTGACCCAACTTTACGTTTTTCGAATTTTAGATTCTACATAAATTGTGTATGCATTATATCCATAATTGTGGAATTATGTGAATTGATATTACATGAAATTATATATAGGTCAGTATTAAATTATATATGCATATAATTGAATATGAAAAAGAAAAAAAAAACAAAAATTAGGGTTTTAAACCCAGACGAGCCACAGTTTGAAGTGGCCTAACCCTAAGCAGCCAAGCCGCAGCCTGCCAGGCCAACAGCCTGAGCCACTGGAGTCGAGCCAACCCGCTAGCCAAGCCACGGAGCCATGATGGCTTTTGCACCCAGAACCCACCTCGACACCTTCCATGGCGTCGCCACCACCAAAACCAACTTAAGCATGGCCTGCAGTCATGCCCAGCCATCGTGGTTGCCTCCCCGATGACCTGAAGTCGTCCCTTTCTTGGTGTTTGATTCACATGAATCTCGTCAGATTTTGAAAAAACAAATTGATTTTCAAATCCAAAGGTTCCCTAGGTTCGTAAACGTCAAGTTCTTTAACACTATATCGCTGGCCTAGTTTCTCCGATAAACCACAACTCAAAAAGCCGTATCTGTCCTCAAACACAGCCGTCAGCAGCGGCGGCGCTAGGTTTTCTTCCTCAGCAGCCATACCCAGCATGGGTTGGGGTGTTCTTGAATTGACCCAAATCTTTCATGGGCTTTGCTGGTTACGGTGCACAACAAAATAAATTTTTGTTTTTGTTTTTGGGCCTGCCTGCAACAGCCAGCTATCTTTCCCTGCTCGACTCGCATGACACAAACCTGTAAGGCCATGGTGTCTCAGTGCACATCAAAGCACACGATTATAGCCCCGTATGGCTGTGGTGTTCCCATGCACCACACCGCATCGAATCACAGCCACACTGGTGCATCTGTGCCTGCGCAACACACAATCGTTGCCTCTGTTTGGCTGTTAGACCTTACCTAGTTTTGGGCCTGCTTCTTGACTATCGGCCCATGACCATTCTAGCCCTTTTTTTTTTGGCTTGGATCCCATTCCTTTTCACGGTTTTTAAAAGCCTATTAGGGCTTTGGTCCAATGCCTTGGGCCACCAATTATATTGCCTATATTTTTAGGCCTTATGGTTTTAATTTTTCTCCCAACTTTTAATTTTGGCTCGAAGTCCAAATAATTAAATTATAATTCTAGATCTGAAGATCTATTTGCATATTTTCTTGTTGCATATTTTTGTATATATTGCATTTGTTTCCAGGTATTATGAACTTAAAGTTCATACTTCCAAACCCGAAGTTTTGGAAAAGTGCCATAGAAATATGAAGTTTCTTAATGCACAACACTCATGTTGAGACTCAAAGTTCTCCATGCTCAAATATGTTTAAATCAAACCATGTCTTAGAACCTGCATGTTTTAACTTTGCTGTTTATGGAAATTTTATTTCCTAAAACACCAATCACATTCTTGTTTTCGCCATTCAGCGTATTGTCGAGCCTTAACAAGTTCGATTTCACTGATTTGGAAATTTCGAACAAGAAACTACTTTATTTGGATACAAGACGTGACGCCCTGCCTAAATACGACTAGTTGTGAAATCATTATAGCCAGTTATGGTGTGGAAGAGCTGAATAAGCCTCCGCGATGATCTTGATTCGAAGACTTATGCTTGAAGCATATCAAATGGAAGTACCTCACTGTCGAGGACTCCATGGCTATTTGACTTGCTATGGATTGTTTCAAATCATGCAAAGATGAATTCTTGCCCGAAGCAAAACATGATTGAAACCTTTACATCTATGAATATGTACAATTCTGAAGTTTATAGCCAACCGAATTTTGACTGGAAGAAAATCTTTCTCGTCCTTCTATATCTAAATTGCTCATAAAGTAGCAACATAGAGATCAGAAGTTTACCAAATTCTCGAATTTGATTACTACCACACCTGTGAGAGAAAGGTACCTCAACAATTTGGCTGAGATGTACCGAACAATATAGACCCAGTTTTGATTGAAGTCTACCGAATGGTGGTGCCCTGTTTCGGCAGGGATGCATCGACTAGCATGTTCTGCTTCATTAGAGGTGCACCAAACGACATTGCTTTTCTTCGGCAGAGGCTACCGAACAGACCCTTCCAGTTTTGGCTGAAGCTTATCAAACCCAAGTCTAGGTCCGTCTCTCTTTTATACAATCTAATTTCGAGTTTGTTTTACAACCTATGGTATAATCTGGGCCTGCCAAAAGGTGGTATCATGCTTGAAGTATGATCCTTGGCATCTAAGACCTAAAAACTTCAAGAACACGGGATAGTATTCCCGAACCTCAACCTTGCAGAATCTAACTTCGTTTTGACGGAATAGATCATTGGTTATGCACTTTTCTGTGCATTTACCAATGTTGTTGAGGAGTACCATTCCCATAGTCAATCTATGAGACTAATTTTGCTCCACCTAACACATTTGGCGAATGAAATTTAACATGGAAGGTCGTACTGGCTGAACTCTCTTGTACATTTTGTTTACTTTGTGAATAATTTATTTTGTTCTTGGGTTTAAGATTGGTGTTTAGATGTCACTATTATTCTTGAGTAAAAGTTAATTAATGAAATTACCGCATGTGACTAATACAGTTAACTCATGCTTAGGTATGTTTTATGGGGAAGTTAGCAGTCTGGTTCTATGCTAACTTCATACCTAATCATCCTCTGACAACCTTTTAGGCTTATCCAACCTGATTGTGAGGCATGACACTGCCCTATATTGTCCAATGGTACTAATTTTACCATAAAAGGAAGCCTTATACTCACTCGTTCTGGAAGAACGCCTTTTGAGCTTTAACGATATTCGAGAACATTATTACCATATTGAAACCAATGTAGAAAATGGAGTAAAATTCCTTGGCTTATTACCATATTGCAATTCCTACGAATATAGCCAGAAGCATATTCTAAAGAAGATGGAACGCTTAACGAATGGATTACACCTATTTAGGCCCACTATATAGCCGGCTAGAAGCCCGAGATTCCAAGGGAATTTTCGCTATGAATGTACGTATAGGATATCTAGGATGATTCGTGATGCGCCCTTTTGGGCAACCACTTACCAAAAGTAAAGACATCATACCTGGAAGCGTATCATTCCTTAGCACCCTCCATCTTTTCTACAAAGGATTCAAGGGGACATTTACGGACTGATTCAACCACCCTGCGAACCATATAGATACCTTACGATATTGGTTGATGCTTCTACACGTTGGTCACACGTGTGGCTATTGTCCATAAGCTGTCTTCTCCACACTGATGGCTCAAATTAACAAGCTCAAGGCTCACCACCCTAATTATTTGATCAAATCTATTCGATTAGATAAGTTAGAGAATTTACATCGAAAACTTTTGATGGATATTGCATGTTGGTTAGGTTTTGAAGTTGAACATCTAGTACCTTATGTTCATACCCAGAACGACCCAATAGAAGCATTCATTAAAAGTCTTCAAATGATTGCACGATCGATTGGTTATACATACCAAGTTCTCGATCTCTGCATGGGGCCATGTAATATTGCACATAACCATGTTGGTCCGCTTGAGGCCTATCACGACCCAACCTTATAAAGCATGTGTTAGTTGGTTACCAAATACAAACTCAACATATCGCATCTGCGCATCTTGTGCGGTTTATGTGCCATTTATGTCGCCCTTACGTACAAAAGAAAAAAAATACGTCCTCAGAGAAGGATGGAAATCTATGTCAGTAATGATTCGCCTTCTACTATTCGTTACTTAGAACCAAGCGATCTATATACATCTCATTTTGCGAATTGTCACTTTTATAAGACAATTTTCCTGCTGTTAGGGGGAGATAAGAACGTCAACGTTCCTAAAGAATGACGCGAATTATCGTAGACGTCCTCATTATGTCTCATCTCGATCCCAATCTAGATCATCAGAGTATAACCAGATGTTTTCTCTGATCTAGCAAAAGTGACTAGATCACATATACCAGCTACAAATGTGCCTGCAAAGATGGGTACCAAATGTATGACGGACCTTCGTCTCGAAAGCAGGAACACCACTACTGTGGTCGACCCTCATGCATTGGCGGCTAGCCAATCAATCTGTCCTACGCCAGAAGCGTGGCAGATCACTTGGTTCAAAGGATTCAACTCCCAAAAAGTGGAGGAACGTGGCACAAACTAATCTACCTATCGATCGCTGTCTCAATCTTTTTCATCTCATGTGATTAAATCTAGATACTCCCGAGACCTAAAACTCTTGGTCCAGTAATCTAGTTTGGATGAGATATGGCATTGGAATGAGATTATCATATATGATGTTTCATTTATATGGTAACTACCAACATAAATGAAAAGCGATGATAACGAACCGCGTTTCGTTGATTAGTGTCAACGTAGAATTGATTGGTCAACTAGAAGAATCAATTGATGACGAATGAGATGAATGAAATAATGTGATATGATGCCTTGTGGCACAAGGTTTCTCTCATACGCCATGTGATTGATTGCAGCATTACAATAGTGGTTGTAGTACCTCTGGGATCCTGATATGAAACCTACATGGAGTTTCCAAATGACTTACATGTACTGATTCAAATAGTTCTAGACCACAAGAACACCCTTGCGGTTCTCAAAAGGCCTTCACTTTGCGGATGTAGAACTCTCCAGGCGAATGTGGTATACCTATCTAAATGGATATTTGATCAGTTAGGGATATATGCCCATGCGTACACAAAATCCGAAATTTCTAGAGCTGAGAAAACTGACTCACACCTAAAGTCAAACTTTTAAGATGAATGATCTTGGGAAAACTCTATATTACCTCGACCTGAAGTTTCGAGCTAGTTCTAATAGTATTTTGGTCCACCACTCGAACTAGACCTAGAGGATGTTATGTCCGAGTATACCTAATCGTCTGTACGCTAGATACAAATGAGACCTTTATGGAGGATATGAAGCATAAAGTTCTATATTAGAACGTGAGGCAACCATATCTAAGTACAATTGACGTTTGTTGTAGTTAGCTCAATGCAATAAAATCAGACATCTTATGTACTGATAATCTTTTGGCACAAAGCAGCATTGCGCCTACACGCCATCACCAAATTGGTGTTAAAGACATTTTTCCATTAATACGGATTTGAGCTTATCTATCCCTTTGCATCTCATAATAGATCACACCCCCTTAATCTTCAGAATGATGCCTACCTTGTGGGATTCGCTGAATCAGACTATTTATCTTACCACACAAGGTATGTTCTTGAATGGTTATGTCTTTACCATTAAGGAACACTGCAATATCTTGGAGGTTTGTGATATAGATCTTTAGTTGTGAAACCTTTGAATCGTTCCAAGACTCACTATATCTCATCATGTGAAAGATATGGTTGAGAACTCTTATGGAGCATATTCAAACTCTCTGCGATTTTCATCCATTGTTGAGTTCCAATGACGTTCCATGAAAATAACGATGTATTTATCGACCAGATCATGATACATCTAACAAGTCAACTCCAAGCATATTACGTCTACATTAGCATGAGCATCAAAAAATTGAAGTCAAGTAGTCTGATCCTAGTCAACCTTGCCGACCTCTACATGACGTCATTGCTGAAGTCTACCATCTAGAAGCTTGTCCAAGGAATTGATATGCGTAACTTTATCACTTGTGATGCTCGTAGTTTCATTTGGAAGTTTTTTCAAGCTCAGGGAGAGTATCAAGAAGTATACTCACTTGACCTTAATGTATTATTTTTCCCTACGATTAGAAGCATTTTTCCCACTAGGTTTTTGCTATTTGACTAGATTTTGATGAGGCACCCATCCTGGGTTGGTCATACCCTTGTGTACATTCTACTTGCATTCCGAAGGCGTATAGTTTTGACTTAATGCAACTTCTCACTTTTCTCCTTTGACTATGGGCTTTTGTTCCACCTTGGGTTTTTCCATGGCAAGGTTTTGTGAGTTTTATCACTCATGCATTCTTCCGTTTGTTTTGAGACTCGCATTCGCTACTTGTGCCGACTAGATGAGACGACTTCATCAACTGCTTCTACATTTGCCTGAAGATTTGATGGCCATCTACTTGAGTATTTGCACACTCAAGGGGGAGTGTTGTGACATATGTTCTAATACATATTGTGATTGTGTAAATCCTAAGTAGAGATAGATTATGAATCTTTTGGGATCTAGGAGATCTTTCCTAATGGACTTTATATTACTTGGAGAGCAAGTTTCTCTCATCCTTATTACTATAAATAAAGGCACAAGGACTGGGGAATTAACACACAATTCCTCAAGCCTATTCTCCACTCTCTTTCTCTTTATGCCACACCCCTCAGTTAAATATAGGCCACGACAGCTAAGTTTTTTCAGAAGCTATTTATACCATATTTTTATACCACATTTCTATATTTTTTATACCCCTCAGTTAAATATAGGCCACAAATGTTATTTATACCATATTTTTATATCACATTTTTATACCACATTAAGTGGCATCTAATGTGGACAACCACATCATTTGAAAAATTTGCAAAATCCAAGAAAAGGAAGGAGAAAGATTCCTCATATATCACAATCATCATTTAATTAACTAATTTTTTTTAATTATTAGTTTATTAAATAATGAACTAAATTTAAAAATCTGATTAATTCAAATGATGTGGTTGTCCACATCAAATGTCACCTAAAGTGGTATGAAAATGTGGTACAAAAGCATGGTATGAATAACTTTACTCTTTTTTATTAGTTTTCTATTTTTTAGATAAGAATATTCTATGAATTTATAAATAGGAGTCTAAAAGTTTTTTTTTTTTTAAAGAAAAGATAAATTGTTAAAATGTGGGTGAAGAAATAAAACAATAAGGTGGGTTTAATAGAACTATCCATTCAATGTTTTGCGGCTTCAATTTGCTAAGAGCATTTATCATTATGCAAAAGAAAAGAGAGAAACAAAAGAATCTTACCCCAACTTTGATGGTGCCACTTTGCTGGAATTCCCAGTCAAGAACGTAATCATAGTTGCCAACAGTAGCCACCATTCTAACCACCAAACTTTTGTCCTGCTGCCCACTTGTTATCTACAAAATCAGCCACTTTAAATTACATGTACACCTTTTATTTTTCCTGGTACACATGCAGGTTAATATTCAAACTCAAAACCCTAAACCCTTACCAATTTGCCTGGAACGTTAATTTCAGTATGTCTCATTGCAACATCACCCGAGTACCTCTCAAAGATGCAAATGGCCCTTTCTACCTTTAGTGGCTTACCATCAGCCCCAGCCATAAACCCGTCAACATATTCAGCATTTTCCGGGCAGTCAATCAGAGGCTGCAAACTATCAGCTGATCTCCCGAACCCAAATTCACCAATGTCCATAAATGTCCTGAAATACCATTCACTTGTAGGATCCATATATGGCACGAACGTCTCGGACACGTGCCCTTTGTACAGCACACTCCTGTACTTCTTCTTCCTGGAGTCAAATACAGAAGCTGTAGAGATCACACTTCCTGCCCTAGCATTGAACCCAACATGAAAAACCCAATTTTCCCATTTGACCTTGTGACCTGAGACGAGGAAGCCACTTTTGGTTTTGTTGTAAGGGGCAGAATTGGAATTTTCTTTTGGGGTTTGGAAGTCAGTGCCTTGAGCTTTGGGCAAAGGAGCTCTGAACCTATCAGTGTACACTGCAATTTTCATCAAATCAAGGTCCACTAGCATTGATATTCCCTCAATAGGCCTTGTAAAAACATTGACTGATCCTCCTCTATAGAAGCACTGGATTTTCACAGCTCTCTTAGTAATTTCTTCCCCATACCATCCAATTGAAAAGGGTAGGCATGAAACTTCAGATAAATTCAATCCCCTTGCTGAAATTGAGTTTATGAATTTGGAGTGACTGAGAGGAAGCTTACTAGCTAGGAAAAGCTCGGTAAAGGTGAGAGGAGGGTTTCCATGATCTGTGTGGACATGATCGGATATGATAGAGCCGGTGGCCAAGTCCACAATGAGCTCGTGGGTTTGACCACCGGCTCGAGCCACCACCTTGGCCTGGCGGGGATGGATGGACCTTTTTTGATTGCTTGAAGATAACCATTTGAGGACTTCAGCTTTCTCTGGCTCTTCAGTGTCAACAAAATGAAAGGTGAGGTTAGGAAGATTTCCAATGTGTGACTTCTGAATTGTGAGCCTAGCTTTGTTGATCTCAGTTGGGGTTAGAGGGTCTAGGGGGTGGGATGAGGTAGCTGTGAAGCAGCATTGTAGGATCAAAACTAAGGGTATAAATAGGGCAGTCATGAATTTGCTTTGCAAATTCCTAATAAGGGATTCAATTTGTGTAGATTTGGTTCTGGATATCTAACTGTTTGGGATTACACAATACAAGAGGAGCAATTATATAGAGGGTTATCCTGACTTTAATGAGACAGCTCGCACTTTTCTTGCATTTCACTAGTCTTTTGCCTTGCACTCGGAGCAAGCATATTTAATTCTAACTGCTTTTCTTTGCTTTGCTTTTGATTCTTTGATAATTAAGTGAAGGGCACCATGAGCCATCATTTTACACATCTGTCTTTGCAATTGCAACTGTATTTTCTTAAATGTCACATGCTACAAGTTGAAGAATACGTGTGTAAAGGCCCATAAAGATTTAACAATAATAGTGATATTGTATTGAATAACTTAAATCATGTGGAAGGGAAAATTGAATACACGACTTTGGTGTAAGGATAAACGTTCTTAATTAGCACTTGAATGAGAAACTCCTTACAATAAAATTTCAACTTTCTTTTAATAAAAACGCTTTTAGAAAAAGTGGTTTTTACAAAACGAAAACAATTAACAAAATTAAAGGGAAGTGCAGTGCTTCTTACATAACGATCCCAAAAAAGAATACAGAATGAACTATATACAGGGGTGTCTTCAACGGCAAAATTAAAAATTTCTTAGCCTTCCATTCTCAGCTTCTCCCAACCTTTTATGGGGTATCTTTCTTGCATTAAGAGCAAGGAGAATGAATTGATGAAAACCTTCTCGGTATGGAACATGATGAAAGCCCATTGTGTACCATAACACATTGTCCTTATTTTCAATGTCCCTAATCCTAGATAACTTTGAGTCACTCACTCTAGTTGTTTGCCATGTGTGTCTATATTGTAAGCCCTAAATGATGAATAAAATAATGAAGTATTAGACATATTTCTTTTTGGTATCAGAGCCCGAGAACGGCTCCGTACTGTCACGTGATAGGTGGGTTCCCTTCGCCCCGCGCATGCAATGATTGTGGTTCACTTGCCCCTGCATGTTGGTTGAATTCTCTTGGCTCCACGTGGTTGTTGATATGTGGATCTCCTTCGTGTGATTCACTAATTGGGTCCCACGTGAGGGAGCGTGTTGAAATATCCGACCATAAAATTTTTACTTAAACAAACCTCATTGCCTAGATTCCACATCATCAAATTCATTAATTATGTTTGACTTTACACATTTAAAAGCTTTTGGATGCCTAAACTACCCATATTTTAATGTTTGATGTACACAATTAATTCCATGCAGATTGTAAGGGAGAATTAATGATTTTGCAAAAAGAAAAAATAATGGTATAAATTCATTGCCTAATATATACTAGCATATGCCCCACACTTTGTGTGTGAAAATAATTTTTATTTTTATTTTAAAAGGGGAAGGAGAAAAGGAGAAAAAAAGGATGTGGATTACAAAAGAGAAGTTTTCTTTTTTATTTTTTATTTTTAAATTTGAGGATGTTAGGATCACTCTTGGGTGAGGTTTTGAAAAAAAAAAAAACTGAAGAATTTAGTTTGTGTGAATTTACTTTATTGCCCATGATTTTGTTATGTGGTAGAAGACAACATTATTTTTTTACCCTCTTTTGGTTGACAAAGAGAGTTTTATTAATGTAGTTTAGATAATAACAATAAAACATGCCTAATATATGTAATAATACATGCTTAATAAGGTCAATAAAAAAATATTATACTAATTAATTTACCTATATGTAAATTTATGATTAGCATATAACTTATATTTTGTAGGTAAATTAATATTGAATCAAATAACATTCCTTCATTTGTAGGCAATTTCTTTTCCATGTATATATATATATGGCACATTTTATTATTATAAGATATATGTACAAATACTAGGTAAATGTTGTAAACTTTCCTAGTTTAAGTGTGATTGTATAAATCCTAGATTTGATTCTAGTTGTTCTTTCCTATATGAACTTGTATTCCTTAGGGATGAAGGATTTCTTCTCCCTCTTATTACTATAAATAAAGGCACTACGTAAGAGGGAATAACACACACATTCCTCCATACAATTCTACAAACACATCTCTCTCTTTTCTCTCCTTGTCGCCGGCCCCCTTCCCCTTGTCAGATAAAATAGGCTACAACACGTTATCAGCATGCTCCTACCGCTGCGCTTAGGAATCTGACATGGAAGTTTTTTGCATCAAACCAGTTCATCTATATCATCACGCAACCAGGTTCTTCCAAAACAAGGGTTTTTATCTAGATATTTTTGCAGCCCTAATAGCATGAACATTCACCATAATGCATGACCCAACTTTACGTTTTTTGAATTTTAGATTCTACATAAATTGTGTATGCATTATATTCATAATTGTTGAATTATGTGAATTTGATATTGCCATAAATTGCATAAAATATATGTCCATACATTAAATTGTTAAATTGAATATGCAAGCAATTAAATTTTATAATTTGGAATTAAGAAAAATTTTAAAATTAGGGTTTACTAAAAACCCATCCCGTCGCATCGCGAGCCACGCCATGTCAAGTCATCATCACCAAGCTTGCAGCCTGTGTGACTAAGCCAAGCCCCAAGTCGAGAGCCAGCAGCTCTCTCTCTTCATGAAAACCAAAACGACGCCATCCATGGTGTTGTCTCCAAACCCACACTCGTCCACAGATGAGTCACGGCACTAATGCTGATTTCCATTGGGAATCACGACCTGAAGTTGTATTTTTTGGGGACAAATTCATCATCTTCGACAATGATTATTGAAATTCTCGTCGAATTTCATTAAGTTTTTTAGGATTTCAATTCAAAATCCCCATGGTTTTCACACCCAACATCAAGAAATCAAATTTCTCCATTCAAAATAGGGTTTTAGGTCGAACCCGTGCTTCCCATGACCAAAATTCACCAACAACACGACCACCATAAGGGGCGATGCTAGCCTCAACTCCAGCGACCTTACCCAACAACTTTGGGATGCTCTTTAGTCCTTACCTGAGCCCACCTAGGCTTGGCTACCCTCGGTCCAAACACCAGCTCTTTGGGTTTTGGTGTTATTTTCAGCCCATTAGAGAGATTTATTAATCTGGGCTCACAGATTGCAGCCATAATCCAAAGCTCGGCCCAATCGTGACACCAGCCCGTAGGGCTATGGTGTCCCATACGCCTACGACATACCGGATCCCAGCCCCTACTGGTGCATCTGTGTCCTACCCTCACACGATCTAGCTTTGCTAGAACATTGGTGCACCATGTAGCACCAGATTGTAGCCTATTTGGGGCTTCCTTTTGGGTTTGTTTTTCGCAACCCATTCCCTATCCCTGAGCCTGCATCCCCAGGCCTACTACCCAAGCATATCCCAGCCCATTTTGGCTTGGACCTCACGGCTAATAATTTGCTCAGCCCATTCGTGGGCTTTGGTCCATGTTTTTTGGGCCCCAAGCTTAACAATTTGGGTTTTATAATTTTTTTCACCCGCACTTTAATTTTTGGCCTGAAGTCCAAATAATTAATTCAATTATAATTTTAGACCTGAAGTTCTATTTGCATATTTTCTTGTTACATATTTATGTATATATATGCGTTTGTTTGTAGGTACTATAAACTTGAAGTTCATAATTTTTTCTTGACAAAATTAATTGAATGGATTTTAGAACTTTTATGCATGTGATTGGTTCAATTAATTTTATTCTAGGTATGACTAGTGGGACAGTTAGTTGTCTGATAAATAATGCAACCACGCACACCGTTTTACGTGAACGCACCTATTTCACTAACTTTGTACCTAAGAATGCACCTCTAACAACCCTCTTAGGATCATCCAACCTAATTGAAGGATTTGGAAAGGTTCGTATAATGTTGTCCAATGGCACTCTTTTGACCATTCAAGAGGCACTTTATTATCTACGTTCTGGAAGAACGTTGTTGAGAATTAAAGATATTCGAGACAATAATTACCACGCTGAAACCTATGTAGAAAATGGAGTTGAATTTATGTGCATAATTTCCTATGAATATGGCGAGAAGCATATTCTAGAGAAGATAAAGCGTATCCCGAGTGGTTTGTATACTACGACCATACGCCCCATAGAGAGCCATTATGTGGCCGGCCCTACATCTAGGACCGCACAAGAAATTACATTTTGGCATGATTGTTTCAGACACCCTGGACGAATAGCGATGTGTTGTATCCTAAAATCATCACACGGGCATCCACTAACCCGAAGTTTAGGTTCGATTCAAGGAATCGCATGTCAAACATGTTCAATGGGAAAGTTTATTACTAAGCATTCTTATGACAAGATTCGTTCGAATCTTCCCATTTTTCTATAAAGGATTCATAAGGACATTTGTGGACCGATTTACCTCCCTGCGGACCATTTAGATATTTTATGGTTTTGGTTGATGCTTCCACACGTTGGTTACATGTGTGCTTGTTGTCCACAAAGAACGCTGCATTCTTCAAACTGTTGGCTTAGGTTATAAAGCTCAGGGCTCACCACCCTGGTTATCCAATCAAATCTATTCGATTGGATAATGTTGAAGAATTCACATCTAAAACTTTTAATGACTATTACATGTCGATTGGGGTTGAAGTTGAACTTGATCTACCCCATGTTCATACTCAGAACAACCTGGAAGAGGCATTTATTAAGCGCTTACAAATAATTGCTCGATTGTTGGTTATATGTACCAAGCTCCCAATCGCTACTTGGGGCCATGCAATATTGCACGCAGCTATGTTGGTCCACCTGAGGCCTGTTACGACCCAACCATATAGCACCCTTCAGTTGGTTACCGAATACGAACTCGACATATCGCATCTATGCGTTTTTGGTTGTGCAGTCTAAATGCCAATTTCCCCGCCCTTACGTACAAAATGGGGCCTTAGTTAAGGATGGGAATTTATGTCCGATATGATTCTCCTTTAATCATTCATTACTTAGAACCTTTGACAGGCGATCTATTTACCGCTCGTTTTACGGATTGTCATTTTTATGAGACACTCTTCCCATCGTTAAGGGGATATAAGAACATCAACATTCTTGAAGAATGACACGAATTATCGTGGGCGACTCCCACTTTGTCTCATTTAGATTATCGCACCACTCAGTCTGAAACTGAAGTGCAGCGCATATTAG